TCCTTTCATGATATCCTTCATGAATCCAATCACAACTCCTTTCACAAGTTACAGGATGCACGATGCCAAAGGACTGCTCTTATTACAACTCATTTGAACGGCTTCTGACTTGGCTTAGAGAGACATATAATGATGGACATGTGATGGACTGGCAAGGACTTGTGATGGACTTGACTACAACATTGCTTTCATGTTGTTATCCGGTTCGTTAGTGACTTCATCACAAAGGCGGACACACCACGATTTGCAGGCTCCCACTGGACGATCGCTGAAGTTGTGTTAACTTCCGGTTCCATGTACATGGCTATCAATGCCTGTACATGTAACTGTAGGTGCAGTGCTTGTGCAGTAGGCGTGGTTTAAACCAAAATGACATCATACTTACGAACCAGATAAACAAGAGTCTAAAGATGGGCACTTTTTTCTAGAAAAATGATAATTAGCATTCCGCTGCTGGTATGCCAATGTTATGTTTGACTGTGTTCTCCACTGGCCTGACTTTTATGGTAACCATAGTCATGGCAAGCACTATTCACTGAGTACCATCTGTACTAAGTATGATTGCAGCAGTTTAAAGGTTTGTAGATATCTACTTAGGAAAAATTCTGGTGCTCATTGGTGCAAAATTATAATGGCAAGGTCATCCTAATTAAAGGAAATTATTTCCAGAGATGAGCTTCATACTGAGATGAGGGAGGGATCAACAGTGTTCATTTCATCACTAGACACCAGTCTGCTAGCATCTCAAAATGATGCTGCCTAAAGGTTTCATCTTTGGCTTGATGAGCCTTTGTCTTATGATCAGATGCACTGGTGGTAATGAGAGGTGTGTAGCCTCAATTAGAGGGGCGTGTCCTCCTGATTGGAGCCAGTGGGGTGACAAATGCTACAGGAAACTCCCAGTGAAACTACCCTGGGCTGAGGCCAAAGAGGAGTGCATCAAGATGGGAAGTGTCTTGGTCATGCCACAGTCTCAGGAGGAAACTGAGTTCCTCCTGAACAACCTAATATTCTACTTTTGGATCAACTGTAACGATCTTCAAGTTGAAGGTTTGTCAATGTAGCATGGCTTATTTATTCCTTGGTTTATTTTCAAATGCTATAAAAGTATTCAACCATTATGGTTCAATTATTAAGAACAAAAAGGTTACTCAATGTCAGAAAGTTTTTCCTTTTTGATAAAGGGAAGATGCCCGATGCAAAACTATGTCTCTCTTTGAGGACTTTTGAATAAATACCTTAATTTACTGCAGAAACATTTATAAAACATCTGGGTGGAGATCAATACTCTCCAACACATTATATGTTGTTATCAATTTCATCGATTTCAATTTGATCCACAACAATATTTTTACAACTTCACAAAAATAGGGAACAGTAAGCATGAGGATTTTTGTACAGCAGTGTCACTGCAACACAGAATTATATAATGCGTCTGTGTCTCACAGGCAAACCTGATGCTCTGGAAAGATGTCATAGGGGCCTATGTGCGCAAACATACCACCTGTGATTTTACAGTCAATTTTGTACATGTGTGTTTCGCTTTGAGCATAAAAAAGTAGCACAATGTGTTGTATTAGAATAGCACAATACGTTGCATTTGACATGACCCATGCAACACAGTTACATGTATGTATCACACTGTTTGTTGTCACAGGTCGACCAATCACAATTGAGAACTCAAATTTGCATGAAGATAACATGAGGGGGAGATTGTTGAATTCAAAAGATAAAGAAAGACGTTGCTCTATTCCAGGCCTGTAGCCTCCTATTCATATGAACATTTTCATTCTACCACGTATAGGTTCGTGGGAGTGTAAGGACGGTATCACTGATATCAAGTACAGAAACTGGAGGGCTGGGGAACCTAGTATCTCAGGAATCTGGGAAGACTGTGTTGCGACAGACAAGAGTGGTTGGAATGATGTACCATGCAGTGATCTCTCTCCAGTCATCTGCGAACAACCTGCACCTCAGCTGCACTTTTAAACCTAGCAGATAACATCAGTAACTAAAATTAATGACTCAAGTGGGAAACAGTCAACTCCATGGAAAAACCATCATTGTGGTGGCAAGACACTGTATGTATGTGCATCTTCTTAAACTTGAGCCCAGCTGCTACCAATTTTCTATCAACAGTCTTGCCGATTTTACTGAATTTCATAAAGCAAACAAACCATGAGGGCACAAAATGATCAAATTAGAAACTTGGATCGACTGAATTTAAGAAGCCCGAGAACTCATGAAGGTTTTGAACCTTGAAAATCTAAAGACAGATGCTTACGTTAGGATTAAGCTACGCAAACAAGGACAACACCTGCACATAAACATGCACATGAGAGGTAATCACTAACGACAACTACTGAGCATTCAATGCATAGAACACACCTTTAAACACAACATAATGGTTATAATTCATGTTTAATATTACATTTTTCAAGCTCAGCTTGAGATTGGAAGAAAATGAAATATCCATGAAATAATCACCAGAGGTTTGAAGGTCCCATAAGACAGGGTCTATGGCACACATAAATTTGTGTTTGCCTGCATGTGCATGTACATGTACCTCTTAAAATACTGATTTCCTGTCAATTTTTGTATGTAAATTACCTTAGAGGTAAAAACAGGAGTTTCCCGATTTTAGAATAGATTGGTTTGAAAGTCCTGAAAAGGAAAGTCATGGTGAAAAAAAGTTATGATGAACAAACTCCTGAAATCAGGAAGTATCGTAGCAAATCTCACCTCTGCAAGCTACTATTGTTAGTTACTCCAGTGTGAATACAAATGTAGTCTTGAAAAATAGCGTGCTGCAGTTTTACTCTGAAAACTATTCTTTGGAACAGTTTTACTCTTTAAACTATTCTAGCAAGCGTGATGTAAAAAAACTTAAAGGTAGCGCTTGCTTCTTGTTCATAATAAAGGCATAATATTTCTGAAGTCAGTGACTCTGGCAAAGATGAAGGTACTGTACCTGTAGTTTGATTTATCAGATATCACAAACTCCATCTTAAGTTAAGCTGAGTTGATGAACATGGTCAACTGGCCTTCAAGACCACAGCAGAACTATTCATTTTTTTCATTCATTACGGTTTATTTTAAAAACTGATCAAATGAGACCAAAGACTAACAATGTCTGCTTACAATACAGAAGGATAGATTACAGCCAAAAAGCAAAAAAGGGACATTATAAGAATATTAATAAGATGGACTGAAAATTAAAATTGATAAAATATTGGAAAAGTAAACAGCACCCCCTCAAATTATAGACAAGTACCAGCATTGTGTCACCATACTACTAAAATTACGCCAAAATAAGCAATCTTGATACACAAGTCTGCAGAAAAGACTTGCAGGGAATCTGTTGCCTCCTAATGATGGATCTACAAATCTATTCAACACAAAATCTGTAATTATTAAATTTATAAAGCAAACAAAATACCACAGAACAATGACGACTGCATTTAGCAACATACCAATTGCCATTCTCTAGCTAGTGTTGTGTCATTTCATCATTGAATGTGCGTCCTACAAAGAGAAATTTCATTGTAATCATTACAACTCAATGAAACCAGTATGTAGTTAGTATGCATGGTTCCAAAAGAAACCACTGCTTTAAACATCCAGTTAACAAGTCTTCTACATATCCACTTCACTGGTCTGAAAGAATCTAAAGATGATGGTGTCTAAGGGTTTCATCTTTGGCTTGATGAGCTTTGGTCTTATGATCAGATGCGCTGATAATGTGAAGTTTAGAAACTGAAAACATGATGAACCCAATAATGGTGGAATGGCTGAATACTGTGCAACAGTATTAAACCAAAATGGTGGATAGAATGATGGGCCATGTGGTAATCTAGTTCCTGTTATCTGAAAATGATAAGCCTCTTGGATCAGCTGCTGCTTTGAACATAAACCAATCATTTACACAGTTATGCTCACGGCATGCTACAAGTTTATTTCATTTTGTAGAAAAAGAAGGGTTTCGTAGAAACTGAGTTGTGAGTGCACATGCCACCATTTTGGATTTAATCTCAAATTTGGGTAAAAACAACTTGACCATATAAAGTTATATAAAGATATGATAAATATCTTATCTTAAGATGTTCTGTTTCTATTTTTGAAATTTTGTTGTTGCCTACATCCATTTTATTTCATGTTTCATTTTTTTTATTTTAAAATGTTTAACCTTGTCACAAAGTGAGATTAATTTGTTCAAGAGAAATAACTCTTGAGTCTATTTACGCATGGGAGCCAAACATATAAGATAACTTGAGTGTGCGTTGACAGAAACAAATTGTTGATTTTATTTGGCCAGTGTTTCCATGTAGTATTTTTATTTAAATTAGATAGGTTCGCGAGAAGAATTGACAAACCCCATTGGATAGCTCGACTCTTGCTTGAGTAAGTCCTTTCTTATGAGGTCACCAGGGTCACACAACAAAAGGATTGAGGGTGTCCCAGGTAGAAATTTGGCGGGGTTTTAAACAATTTTCGGGGGTGAAGGGGACTTGCGTCGGAAAGTCCAAGGAGAGGGCACGTCTTGCCAGCCTCGATGA